GTCGTGCGCCCGCTGAGGTGGCAATCCCTGTGGTAAATCATCCGGAAATATCCCCGGGAACTGTTTCAGTAGTGCCTGTAGTTCGGTCGGTACAGTTGCCAGCAGTTTCTCCAAATCACTCGGCTGCTCATCTTTTTCTACGAGTGCGATATCCACTGCGTACACGTCAGCTCCAGCAGCGACAGCCCGTTTCATCGTGATGGCGTTGACCTGGACCGTCGAAGATTTGGGTGGCTGCCAGCGAGGTAGAACGACCCAGTTACCACTACTTCGCACTGTGCAGCTCCCCGTCGTCCAGTCGATCCGTGGGTTGTACCGTCGCAGCCAATCACGTCCCAATAAAATGTCGTGCCCATCCAGTGTCGTCGCGAGCATTTCCTGTGTAAACCCGAAGTTCCCCCCGCAGCGGACTTTTACGCGCTCCACCTTTTCCCGTATGGCCAGGGGCGTGCCGTCGACTAAGCGTGCATCTATCTCAGGTAAACATTGGTTAAGCGTTAACTGTAATTTTCGTGCGGTTGCGGTATTAACTAAGCTGTGGCTTGCTCCTCCGTCAATGAAGATCTTCACTGCTGCTCCCTGTATTTTCCCGTAGATCAGTACCAGACAATCCATCGCTGTACCCTCCTTATTCATCCGAGCCCGATCGATGGCGTGAATCGGTACTGTGACTCGGTGAGGGTCGGTGTGGTTGGGCGAGCAGGCAGTCTCGTCAGTAGTTGGCCCAACTTCTACTGACTGCTGGCGTTTCCCTGCCTCCGAGACTCCTTCCCCTGCTCTGCTCCTCGACGCCTCAGCTCCTCTGGACATTCGCTCTTGCGATGGCCCGGCCGGTTGCAAGCAAAGCAGCGCCCTCTAAACGGCGCGGCAGCTGCATTCACTGCGACGGCATGTACAGTGGCGTGCTCGGTCGGTCCCCGAGGACGATTGTCCGTAATAGGACCCCGGTCTCGGTCGGCGTAGGATATCGGTTTTCTCGGCGAGCGCGAGGATCTCGTTGAAATTCGAGAGCCAGCGTAGCATTATCTCATGCGAGATGTCCGGCTTCAGCCCTCCGACGTAACGGTCCACCCGCTCCGCTTCGTGCATGTAGCCGACCTGTTCGCAAAGTGCGAGAAACCCGCTGGTGTAGTCTTGAACTGACCCGAGCTGGCGCCAAGTGCGCAGTTTCTGACGCGCCGAAATCGAGGCCGCGATCGGCTCAAAGCGCGCCCGAAGCCCTGCGCACCACGCATCCCACGTGCTGTATTGGGCGGTTTCGCAGAACGAACTCCAGGTAACAGCTGGACCCGAGGGCCCTTCCTCGTGCGACGGTGGCTCGTAGGCGCGCGGCGACGTCACAATGACTCGCCACCAGTCCATGGCGGGGCCCCTGAGTAGTGAAACCGCATACCGGATCTTGGCGGCATCCGACTCGACGTAGTTGGCGTCGAAAAACACATTCATCGTGAAGACCCACGATTGAACTGTCGGGCCGCCACGTTGGCTTGGGTCGAAGCAGGGCGGGCGTTGCGGCTTGAGTGGCATTGGGGCCATCATGGCGTTCTCGCCACTTGTCGCCGCAAACTCCACGTGCCGACGGGCTTCTCGGGGCTCCCGTGGGCTTAATGCGCTCCTGTTCCCTCCCATGCCGGGCATCGGTTGGGCTGCGCCGTCACTGGCTGCGCCTGAGCGCTGTCCCGTGCTGTTGTGTTGCGTTGGTGTGCCGGATGAGATGACGATGGGCTCCTCCGAATGTGCAGATGTATTGGTTGGTGCGTGTGATGTCGTCGGTACGTTCAGCGTTGACTGTTGACGGGCGGATTCACGTTCCGCCGTGAGAGTCGCGATTTCGAGCGCCGAATCCTCCAATTGACGCACGAGACGATCGAGTTGCTCCTGGCGTCAACGTGGCGAGATTGAAATCGGCCATGGCGGGGGTGTCGGGCAAGCTGAGCGAGAGCCTCGGTCGTGGCCCGTGCGTGCTTTCGAGAGAGCACTACGAGCGGCGGTGCTGTGTCGCTAAGAGACGTCCTACCCCCCCCAAAAATTGAGATAGTGGGAAGCGAAGGTGTGGATGCGGGTCCGAGATGAGATCGTAGGCTCTGAATACCAAGTGTACGAGTGCACAATTGAGTGAACGAACGAGAATTGCACTATCGAAGCAAGAAAATACAATGAGCGAAGGCTGTGAGCGAACATTATATAGCGAAACTACCGTGGTAACGGTAATGGTCGCGCGACGAGCCTGGGACTGAGGTTGGGAAAGTGTCGAAGCGTAGGTCCGGAGCGCGGGTTACAGCCGAGCCGTGAGGTCGGGATGCGATGTGCGAAAAGGGCGGGATGATGAATGATGCGATGGTCGCGAGTGGTAACGGTGCTGACTCAACGCGTACATCACTGTAGCACCTCTGTCAGCACCGTTACCACTCGCGACCATCGCATCATTCATCATCCCGCCCTTTTTCGCACATCGAATCCCGACCTCACGGCTCGGCTGGTAACCCGCGCTCCGGACCTACGCTTCAGTGATGTACGCGTTTGAGCAGGGACGCGAAGTAAGGAAAGGGATTTTCGTTACACTAGCCCTATATTAGTCTGTGCACTCATTGAATTCGCAGTTGGATTTAGTCATAGCCTCGTTATTCGTTTACCTGCGCACTCTCTTTTACAACTCATAACATTTACGAACAGTAAATGTACGAGCTGGAACCCCCTGACTGCACTGGGTATCTCGGACAGGTGGTAACCAGATACGTGCGCGAACTCTCATGGACGCTTGTGGCGAAAGTTCCTGCTATTTTTAGCTAATCATTAATACAGGTGGTTACGAAGACCTGGTTTCACTACTGAATGTGGTGAAGCTTTTAGCGGAGTTGTCATCTCTCCCTGAGAAATTTGCTGTTGTCCGTCAAACGTCGCTGCAGAACAGAACCTTCGCTGTATGGAGAGTGATGATTGGTTATGAACTATGTCACAGATGGAATGCGGGAGGTGAAGATTCTTTGCTGATTTGGTGAGGAGGGCACGTCAAATGCTTTTAGATGTCCTCCAAGTAAAACGATTTCCAGCCTGAGGTACTGTCTGTCTCGTTATTCGTTTACCTGCGCACTCTCTTTTACAACTCAAAACAGACCTGGTATTGTTGAGCGCTGAGCGTCAGCCTGACGCATCGGTCCCTTTTCGCACGGCATACTGTCGGCGAGGGCTTGTCAGAACAACTATTTTCGTGTGTTGTCTCCACCCACTTGTAACACCCGGAAACTCTTCGCCAACAATTCAAACTTTGGATGCTCGTCTAACTCTTTGCTGTCTGTTACGGGAATATCGAGGGGGTTGTCTTTTGAACTCAAGCCTGTCCTGATTCGTGAAAAGCTGTCACTCTTGCTTTGAAGTTTGTAGCCAAATACCTTCAACCCGCAAGTTATCAGGCACAGTCAACGAAAGGTCAGCATCGTATTCGGTCTATCATAAGGCTAATGACTGTCGGTGCGCTTAGAGCGTGCTAGGCTATTCGAGGATTGGACTAAAGAATGGGTAGGTGTCGTTCAGAGTCGAACTGGCCTGTCGTGGCTCTGGGGATCTGGCATTCGCATGACATTCCGTTGTCAGACAACTCTATGACTCCTTGCTCGATTAAAACTTGTGTCGGTTAGTCAGCATGAACAATGAGGGTGGACGACGGAAGTCGTGATAGTTTCCAAAAAGCTCACTAACCTCGTCAGGGAGCGGAAGAGGGTCAGGGTTGGCAGCAAATGGAGGAAGAGGAGCGGTGTCAGTTCCTCGCAACAACTGGCAGCAGCATCAACCATGGCTGGCGGCAATCCTGTGCGACGGGGAATGGATTGCGGGAAAACTTCGTATTCTCCATTGCTCCCAGCAGAATACGATTGGCTGAAAATGATCGCGTTGCGTGTCATTCCCCATTGGCTAGCGCGGTCACCGCGACGAATGAGATAGATGTGTATGGTTCTTTTTTACCGCAGTGCACCAACTCAGCATGAAGCTCCAGGTCGTCAAACACGCATCTGTCGCCTTCACTTCTTACTGTCTCAGTCCTGTAGTAGATAAACGCTGTCTCAGTTAGCAGAGACTGAACGCAATCGTTCTCTCCAAACTCAACTGACGCTACCTGCTCTCCCCACCCGTCTCTTTCCCCACTCACCCACCATTTCTCGGTAAACAGGGATCGTGGCTCCTTCTCCTTCGCTCCACTAACAGCGAGCTCCTCAGAATGGCAGAGCAGGTACGATGCCACGCAATGTCCGAGCTAGGTACGATGCACGCAATGGCAGAGCAGGTACGATGCACGCACTGGCAGAGCAGGTACGATGCACGCACTGGCAGAGCAGTTATGATGCACGCAATGGCAGAGCAGGTACGATGCCGCAATGGCAGAGCAGGTACGATGCACGCAATGGCAGAGCAGGTACTCTGCACGCAAGGCAGAGCAGGTACGATGCCACGCAATGGCAGAGAGAGTACGATGCACGCAATGGCAGAGCAGGTACGATGCACGCAATGGCAGAGCAGGTACGATGCATGCAATGGCAGAGCAGGTACGATGCACGCAATGGCAGAGCAGGTACGATGCACGCAATGGCAGAGCAGGTACGATGCACGCAATGGCAGAGCAGTACGATGCACGCAATGGCAGAGCAGGTACGATGCACGCAATGGCAGAGCAGGTACGATGCACGCAATGGCAGAGCAGGTACGATGCATGCGTCTGCTGGACGCACCGGCATGTAAGTCTTTGCTGAGTCGCACTCTACGCGGCCGTAGTGGACCCAGTGTAGCTGGGTGGATTCAACACATGTTACACTATCGTTCTGTTTCTGCCAGAGCAAGTAGGCTAATCGCTCTCCATATTTCGTCTCAATATTAAAATCGCACCAGAACACGGATTTTTGGGTGTGCAGCACCTACAATAGAAGCACACCGGATCAGTATTCGGTCATACTGGGTCGTCTGATTAGATGCGATTATTATTCGACCTCAGCATTGACTTTCACTGCACCTTATCTCACCTCACCCCTCCCACCAGCCATCGCATCCCTGAGCACCGCCAGCAAAACACCCACTCCCGTCGTCTGCAAGCCTGGCACCACGGCCCCTGGAAGGCCATCGCATCCCACACACGCACCACCTGCTCCCTCTACCTCTTTCCCAAGCCGTCCATTCGTTTCGCAACCTCTGCCTTCGATTTCTGACCCAAGAAGTAACTTATCTTTTGTTGATGTGAGGGAGGAGGAGGAGGAGGAGGAGGAGGAGGAGGAGGAGGAGGAGGAGGAGGAGGAGGAGGAGGAGGAGGAGGAGGAGGAGGAGGAGGAGGAGGAGGAGGAGGAGGAGGAGAGGAGGAGGAGGAGGAGGAGCAGGAGGAGGAGGAGGAGGAGGAGGAGGGGAGGAGGTGGAGGAGAGGAGGAGGAGGAAGAGGGAGGGGGGAGGAGGAGAGGAGGAGGAGGAGGAGGAGGAGGGGAGGAGGAGGAGGGAGGAGAGGAGGAGGAGGAGAGGAGGAGGAGGTGGTGGTGGTGGAGAGGGAGGAGGAGTGGGGGATGGGGGGGGGGAGGAGGAGGATTTAGAGGGGGTGTTGGTGAATCTGGGATAAGACCAGGTTCGTCTCATGGAGTGGCAGATGGTGGCTTGGGCTCAGACAGGCCCAGACCGGCAGTTCGGCCGAGCCGCAGCTCCAGGGCCAGCAGCAGCAGCAACAGCAGCCTCTGCAGGAGAATGGGAGTCTCTTCGATGATGATGAGCTGTTCAGGTGGGTGGTGCTCGCAGTAGGCACGTGCTCCTATGGCAGTAGGCACGTGCTCCTATGGCAGTAGGCACGTGTGTCTTTGGCAGTAGGCACGTGCTCCTGTGGCAGTAGCACGTGCTCCTATGGCAGTAGGCACGTGTGTCTTTGGCAGTAGGCACGTGCTCCTGTGGGCAGTAGGCACGTGCTCCTGTGTGTAGAGCGGATTTTAAGACGCCAATGCACGAGATGTTCCAGGTACATGGTGGTAGTTATGATATGCTGTGTGTGCTCATGCATGTGCACGTGCGGTGTGTGTGTTTTGTGTGTGTGTGTGTGGTGTGTGTGTGTGCATGCGTGTGTGAATGTGTGTCCGTGTATGTGTGCGTGTTTGCGTGGGTGTATGTGTGTGTTTGCGCGCACACAACTCGTATGTGTCTGCCTCTTGTGTGCACATGCGTGCACATTCTTGTGGCGTGTCTTCATGTGTACCTGTATCTGTGCGTATGTGTGCGTGCATGTGTGTGTGCGCGGGCCAAACAGGACATTGACGTGATGAGCTGGTCAGGCAGTCAACCCAGCAGCATTGAGTGTTTTATAGGCGCCTCAAAATACACCTCAATCGTTGCTGTCCATCTGTGCGTGTATGTGCGGGCATGTGTGTGGGGGGGGCAACAGGACATAGACGTGGATGAGCTGGTGAGGCAGTCACCCAGCAGCAGGCAGCACAGCAGCACAACGGACAAGGACAAGGCGCAGCAAGGGAATATTCCACCAGACAG